TCGGTGAAGGGCCATAATAATCATATACATTGTATATTGACAAAATAAAAATTAAAATAAAAAAGTTTTCTTATTATACATTTTACTAACTTAAGTGCACAGTTTATATTAGGGCCCGTTCTTTGTGTTGTACATACCATGAGTTTTGGCAAATGTATAATGACATGTATCTAACATTAAAAAAAAAAAAAAAAAAAAAAGAATACATTATAGTATTCCATGACAAAACCAGGAATCAAATAATTAGTAAACACATTTATACAAAATTATTGTCTATGTGACTTCTAAACAATTCTTTCTTTAAAAAGGAAGAACTCTGTGTCAAAACCAGTATATATGTGAAAACTAAAACTTAAGTTAATATCACAGACTTTTGATGTATCACATCAGGTAAACAGATAACATGATAAATAATAATGACTGTGGAACAAAGTTAGAACTGGCAATTATGATTGCTAGCCTGTAGTTATATAATAGCTAACCAATAGAGCAATTCCCTATATCGGCATTGCCCATTTATTAACTACTTCATTGGCACAACATATATGTAATAGAATTCATACTTAGAAAATTAGCTAAGGGCAGAGAAAGCACTGAAACAAACTGAAAAATAAAAACACACAGCATAATGCAGGTTCTGTGGTCTGGAGGTCTTATCACCCAAACTTCATATGTTGAGGTCCTATTACCCAATATATTGTTATTAGAAGTGGGGTCTTTGGAAGATAATTAACACATGAGGATGGAGACGTCATGAATAGACTAGTGTCATTTTAAGAAAATACCAGACAGCTTGCTTCCTTCTCACTCTTTACCCCATGTGAAGACATAGCAAGAAGATGGCTGGGATTAACCAGGACTCAATTCAGCTGTCATCTCAATCTTGAACTTCCCAGCCTCCACATTTCTGAGAAATCATCTCTGATTTAAGCCTCCAGTCTGTGGCATTTTTGGTGGCAGGTGGACATGACTAAGAACTAACAGAACCATCTCATTGTAAACATGACAAAATGCTGGTAAATCTTACTAAAAAAAGAAATTTTTGTACCTTTACAATGAAACTTGCAATATTCTTATATATCTAACAGCACTAATTTATTGTAAAAAAAATCTTCAGATAAATTATCATTATTATTGTTAAAAAACCCAGCAGGTCCACAGAGTTCATGTATCTCATAGCAATTTACACAAAACGTAACTGAAACAGGATTTGTTCCTTGGCTACAGACTCAAACATGTCCTTAAGCATGACTGCTTCCCAGGTAGTACAGAAAACAGATGACAGCAAATAAAAGGAGCACAGAAAGAAATATCTCAAGAGAGACAGAAGAGCTGAGTTTTGCTGTCCTAGTAGTCCCTGCTTCCCTGGAGCTGGACTAGACCCCTAGATTCTGAGCTGCAGGGATATCACTCCCCACAGGAAGCAGAGTCATCACTACGCTGCTTTCTGCCCACCAAGGTCCAAAGACAGCTGTCTTCCACAAATCTGGGGTCCTTTCTGCCACTGAATCTAGCCTCTCAGACTCTTGGATACTGGGGATTCCCAATATTCCATAGTCCAGAGTCACCGCTATATGATGCCTTATTCCATGGGACCTGAGTTGCCACCAAGCCCTATTGCTTCTTGCTCCCACATTGCAGCTGTACCCTCCTCGAGTCCAAACCTCCAGCGCATCCCCTTTTCCTGAAAGCCAGGCCAATTATGTGTCCCGCACTCCAAGTTGAGAGTCACAGCTAAAAAACGGCCCCGTGATCCCAAGCTGCGAGAGGGTGCCTCAGCATCACAGACCGTGACTTTCAGGCCAATCTCCATGAAACCTTGTCACAAAGTGAATCTGACCCCAGAACCCAGGTGCAACAATAGGGTTGTTAGACTCTGAGCCTTCAGGACCCCAGCTTCATAGCCATTCTGAGCACCTGGCACCTGAAACCCAGGTACTGTGAACCTGTTTGCAGGCCATGTCAAACCTGCTTCTTGCTACCACACTGCAGCTGTACCCTGCTCCTTGATTCCAAACCTCCAGTGCATCACCTTTTCCTGAAAGCCAGGCCAATTATGTGTCCTGCACTCCAAGGTGAGAGTCACAGCTACAAAACGGCCCCCTGATCCCAAGCTGCATGAGGGTGCCTCAGCATCGCAGACCGTGACTTTGAGGTCAATCTCCATCAAACCTTGACACAGAAAGTGAATCTGATCCCAGAACCCAATAGGGTTGTTAGACTCTGAGCCTTCAGGACCCCAGCTTCATAGCCATTCTGAGCACCTGGCACCTGGAACCCAGGCACCGTGAACCTGTTTGTAGGCCATGTCAAACCTGACGCCAACAGGGATCCCCTGTGTTGTCTTCCCATTGTGAGGACAAGGAGAATATGAGAACCCCAAAAGCTCTTGCCACAGAGGACCTTAAGAACCTCCACTACCAATGGTACTGCCATAAATTTCTACAGCCTAAGTCACTTAAACCCAGATTGCACTGACATTGTCTGCCATTAAAGAAGCTGTACAGAGACTGTACAAATGCATCACAGCAATATGGATAAGCTTGAAAGACATTATGTTATGTTAAGTGAAACAAGCCAGGCACGAAAAGAGAAATATCTCATGTTCTTACTTGAGTGGAAACTAAAAAAGTTTATCTCATAGATGAAGAGAGTGGAATTGTGGTTACTAGAGGCTGGGAAGGGTAGGTGGGGATGGGAGGGTAGTGAAGATTGGTTCTCAAATATAAAGTTACAGCTAGATAGGAGGAATAAGTTCTAGTGTTCTATAGCACTATATGGTGACTATAGTAAAGAACAATTTCTTATACATTTTTGAGTAACTAGAAAGGAGGATGTTAAACATCCCCCCAAAAACAATAAATGTTTAAGGAGATGAATATGGTAATTACTCTGATTTGATCATTAGACACATATCAAAATAAAACACGGTACAACATATATATGTACAATTATTACATGTCAATTAAAAAAAATTAAAAGAAAAATCTCTATGAAAAAATAAAGGTCACATTTAAAAAGCTTACAGGGCTGAGCCCGTGGCGCACTCGGGAGAGTGCGGCGCTGGGAGCCAAGCGACGCTCCTGCCACGGGTTTGGATCCTATGTGGGACTGGCCGGTACGCTCACTGGCTGAGCGCAGTGTGGGCGACACCACACCAAGGGTTGCGATCCCCTTGCCGGTCACAAAAAAGAAAAAGAAAAATAAATAAATAAATAAATAAATAAAACAATAAAAAGCTTACAGAAAGTGTCATATTCACTGTTGAAAGACTGAAAGCTTTTCCTGTGAGAGCAGGAAAGAGACAAGAAAGCCCAGGTGCTATTTCTATTCAACACAGTAGTGGAATCCTAGCCAGAACAATTAGATAACAAAAATAAAAGGCACACAATTAAACAGGTAGCAATACACTGATCTCTGTTCACATATGACATAATTGTCCACGTTGAACACTCTAAAGACTCCATACAAAAATGTTAGTACTGATGAACAAATTCAGTAAAGTGGCAGAATATAAAATCAACAAGAAAGAAAACCTGTTGTGTTTATATACAATAAGTGCGAACAAACTGAAAAGGATACTACAAAAACGTTTCCATGAACAATAGCATCTAAAAGTTAAACACTTAGAAATAAGCTTTATAAAAAGAAAAAAAAAATATGTCAACTGAAAACTTTAAAACATTGTTCAAAGAAATGAGAAGACACAAATAAAGGCAAAAAAAGTCACAAGTTCATATATTGGAAGACAATATTGTTAAGATGTCAAAAATAACCAATGTGATCTACACATTCAATGAAATCCATAGCAAAATACCAATGGTACTCTTTGCAGAAGTTGATAAATCCATCCTAAAATTCATACAAAACAGCACAGCACACTGAATAGCAAAATAAACTTTAACGAAAAAGCTGAAGGACTCATAGCACATGATTTCAAAATTTGTTACAAAGCTATAGCAATCAAATAGTTCTGTACTGGCATAAAGAGATATATACCTGATTAGAACAGAACAGAGAGGCCAGAAAAAAACTCTCACATATATCATCAAATGATCTTCAACAGGGGTGCCCAGAACAATCATGGGGAAAAGATAATGTCATCAGTAAAGGATGCTGAAAAAATTGGCCATCCACATGCATAAGAATGAAGCTGGGCCCGTACATTATACCATACACAAATATTAACTCAAAATGATCCATGACCTATAACAGAAGACCTAAAACTACAAAACTCCTAGAAGAAAACAGGCAAAAGGTTCATGAAACTGTATTCAACACTAATTTCTTGATATGACACTAACTCAAGCAACAAAAGTAAAAATAGATATAATGAATTAAGGCAAAATTTAAAAATCTTGTGCAGCAAAGGAAACAATCAACAGACTGAAAATAAAACCTATAGAGAAGGAGAAAACATTTGAAAATCAAATGTATGATGAGGAGTTAATACTAGAATACCGAAAGGACTCCTACAAGTCAACAAAAACACAAATAATGAGATTTTTTAAATGGGCAAAGTCACTGACGTACATCTCCAGAGATGATATTCAAAGAAACAAGCACATAAAAAGATGCAAGACATCACCAATCATTAGGAAAATGCAAATAAAAACAAACTGACATGAAATCTCACATTCATTAAGATGTTTACTGTCTGAGGGAAAAAAATGTTTCATAAGGATGTGGAGAAATGCAGGACTTGGGCCCTGTTGATCGGGATGTAAAATGGTGTAGCTGCGTTGGAAAAAAGTACTGTCATCCTTCAGTATCTCTGAGAGACGTGGTCCAGGACCGCATGCGGATACCAAAATCCATGGATGCTCAAGTTCCTCTTATAAGATGGCATAGAATTTGCATATAACCTGCTCATATTCTCCCATATACTTTAAATCTTCACTAGATACTTATAATACCCAATACAATGCCTACACATCACTTCATTCATATGGATTCAGTGTAGTGGTATGCAATTGCAAAATTCAAGTTTTCCTTTTGAAACATTCTAGAATTTTTTTTCAATATTTTTGACGTGTGGTTAGTTGAATCCACAAATGCAAAACGCATGGATATGAACGGCCGACTGCATGACATTTCCTCAAATAATTAAAAGTTGAATCATCATATGAACCCACAATTCCACTTCTGCGTTATATACACAAAATAACTGAAAACAAGATCTGGAAGAGATATTTGTAAACACACATTCATAGCAGTATTTTTCACAAGAGCAAGAGGTGACAGCAACCCAGGTGGACATCTCAAATAAACAAAATGTGATAAGTACATACAATGGAACATTATCCAGTGTCTGAGAAGACAGAAATCCTGACATATACTATAACATGGGTGAATCTTGAACATTTTATGTTGAATAAAAGAAAAGTCACAAAAAGACAAATATTATATGATCCTACTTCTATGAGGTTTATAAGATACTGAAACTCACAAAGAAAGCAGAATGTTAGTTACCAAGGGCTAGTGAGAGATGGAAATGGGGTGGAAAGTGAGTTTAAATATTCACAGGAGTCAATTGAAACTAAATTCAAAAACCAAGAAAATATGGTATATTTTAACTCTGCTAAATTCATACAATGTAAAATATTATAAAAGTTATTTGTTAAAAGAGATATGAGGTAAAGGATCATATTACTGTGTGCACTTTAGTATGTAGTTCTTAATATAAAAAAATGAAAATTCATGTGCTCTTCTCCAAAATTGATAAATATAATTTCATAATACCACCAGGAGAATGCAAGTAACCTCACGGAGAACATATGTGAGTGATCCACAGTGGGGAACGGCTTGCACTGAAGGGTGTGGTTAGTAGCAGCAAAGTGCGGACACGTTTCGTGGTAGTGGTGTGGGGACCCACAGGGGAGGTCATCAGCAACATAAACAGCAAATAAGAGGCAGAGAACAACACGATATTGTGAGAACATGGGTTCACAGGGACCAGGTGAACATTATAGGAAATTCGGATGGAAAAAAAGATGAGAAACAAAACAGTCTTCATTTGTTAAACTCAAGAATGTAACTTCCAGAACTTTAGAAATGTTGAAGAAAATACAGGTGATAAAAATAACAGTGAAGAAGTCCGTGAAGTACAAGAAGTGGGCTAAATTTCCAGTAAAATACTATGACATATTTTATTTTATTTTATTATTATTTTTTTCCTTTTTGTCTTTTTTCGTGTCCAGCAACGGATCGCAACCCTCAGTGTCGCGCCCGTACCGGACCGGGACCGGCAACGGGATCGCAACCCTCGGTGCTGCGCCCACACCTCGCTCAGCCAGTGAGCAGGAACTGGTTTGTATGTGGGATCCGAACCCTCGGCGGGAGCGCCACCGCATTCCCAAGCAGCACACTGTAGCAGTGCGCCACTGGGCGGGCCCACTATGACATATTTTAATATTAATTTAGTATACCAAGATGAACATGACGGTTCTAGACAAGGAGAGTAATTATTATAATATAGCATTTGTTCCAAGAAACAAAATGTGAAATTTAAACAATGACTACAGTTTAGAAAATTTTAAATCTACTATAACAAACGCAATGTGTCTTAAAGAATAAATTATGACAAGTCAATTAAATGTGATTTATAAGATTAAGATAGTAAATTAATAACAAAAGAATATATTTCTGAGATATCAAAGATTCCTAATTTACACACTGTAATTAATTGATAATAGTGCACTTTAACAGTAGGAATTAAATCAGTTAAAACTGAAGTAAAACAAATAATTATGACTATCTAAAAAGCTTCTGAGGTTGCATAGGTGTTAAGATTAACTCCTGTGGAGCTACACCCTCTGCACTAAAAAGGAAAATTTTTTCCAAAATATATAAATCAGTATTGATTCCCTGATACAACTGTTCCACACACTGTAGATATAAAACAAAGAACACAAAGAGTATCATAAAAAATATGGAGCTGGTAGTTAATTGAATAAAAAAAAAGTTTTTTCATAATACACGAAAACATAAAAGAAAATTAGCAGTGGCTTAAAAAAATGACAGTAGAAATAAAAACAGAGGCATCATCCCAGTGAGATATGCTCCCCATGTAGAACAGAGAATAAAATACAGGATCTTTATGTTGAGTCTCATTACACGTCTTCAATTGCAGTAGACAATTGAGTAACAATTGCAGAAGAGACAGCTTACTCCTCTATTACACACGCCAGTGAAATATGAAAAAAACATAATGGAAGAATAGCTGAGGGACCTTGTGAAATAAGAAGAAATACACATATTACTCTCTTCCCTGGTTCCTGACAGAAAGCTCCTAATCCCTTGGAATTTCCTGGGAAGTAGGAGCACGATTTGTTCTAATGAGGTAACTGCCTGTACTGGGGCTGGTCATGAAAAAGACCAAGGCAAGATTAGAAGCTTGGAACTTTCAGCCTTAACTCACACCCTCTAGAAGTGGACAGGGTTGGAGATTGACTCAATAATCCACCATGACTGCACAATGCCTCCATAAAAATGCTTGAACTACAGAATTTGGAGAGCGTTCAAATGCTGAACACATGGAGGTTCCTGGAGGGTGGCGTGCCAAGAGATGTCATGGAAACTCTGCACCCCTTTCCATGTACCTCCTCATCTGGCTCTTCATCTACACCCTTCGATATGTTCTTTACAATGAACTGGTAAATGTAAATAAGTGTTTCCCTGAGTTCTGGGAGCCGTCCTAGTAAAACGATCAAATCAGAGTAGGGGGTCACAGGAACATGGTTTAAAGCAGCTGGTTAGAAGAATAGGTGACAATCTACTACTTGTGATTGGCATCTGAAGTGGGAGTAGTCCTGGAAACTCACCACTTATGCTGTGGGTTCTGACTCTAACTACAGGTAGACAATGTCAGAAATGAATTGAGGGCCGGCCCGGTGGCGCACTGCCACAGTGCGCCGCTTGTGAGCGCGGTGGCGCTCCCACTGAGGGTTCGGATCCCACATACAGACCGGCTGCTCACTGGCTGAGCGAGGTGCGGGCGCAACACCGAGGGTTGCGATCCCTTGCCGGTCCCGGTCTGGTACGGGCGCAACACTGAGGGTTACGATCCGTTGCCGGTCACGAATAAAGACAAAAAAAGGAAAAAAAAAAAAAAGAAATGAATTGAATTACAGGACACCCAGTTAGTGTACACCCAAGAACTGGTTGTGAGGATGAATCACCACACATTCTGGTGACTGTAAGTGAAGCATTCTGTCTTGAGTGGTGTGTTAGAGCAGAAAGAACACTTCTGCTCTGTCCTATCACAAACAGACCTGAACAAGCAGAGAGGCCCTGAGACAGCTCCACGCAGCTTCTGGAGCCCCAGAGGAAAAGGAAGAGCAGCCAGTGTTTCCCTAACTCTGAATTATCTCTTTCATGTACATGAAATGCGGTGGAACCTGAATAGGTCAGGCCTCAGATGTATGAAGGCCTCAGTTCTCAGCAATATGTACAGTGAATTGAAATGACCCACAATGAATTCACAGAAGCCAGATGATGGACTGTTGCTCATAATGATAAAGACTTTGCCTTTGTCTCTATTTTACCTGCAGCACCAGTGGAAGACAAAAGGATGAACTATTACACATTCGAAGAACAGTCATATATGGGAGGAAGAAAAATTCCTTTCAGACCTCACAGCAAATAAACTTTTGTTTTCCCAAAGAACTCTCCCACTTGCAGAGTTTCCCAAACACTGTTTAATGGTGCAGCTTCCTCTGTCCATCTAAGCTCTTACCTGTGTTCACACCTTTGATCCATTCCTGCCCATTTGGTTTTCTTGCTATATTCACTTGACTTTGCAGAGTACAAGGCTCCTTCCCTTGCTCCAACGTGAAGATAACACTCAGGTCAGGAAGAGAGTTTCCTGGTTATAAAAACAAAGGAACATGATATGCTGTGGCTTTTCCAGAATCCCAGTTCTATGCCAAGGTAGGAGAGAAAACATAACAAGTGGATCTAGAAAAATACTTCACAAATTCATCCATTGACTGCATCCTTCTGAATGCTTAGGGAACACTATAATATGCAGATACCTAAAGGTCTCTTCAAAGAACCACTGAATCAAAAGCAGAGAAGTAAAACCCAGAAAACTGGATATTTTAAATATTTGCCATAGAGTCTTACAAACATCAAAACTCTGGAACCACCCAATGATGTACTGTAAAGAAGGCAGAACATCTGAAGAAAGGGGATAGTTAAAGGCCAGATGCCATATCAGGAAGCTTTTCTTTTCTAGATCAAAACCACTTCAATTTCAGTCAAGCAATACAGGGGCTCCCAAGTGGCACACAAGGGAACTACAAAGACACACAAGGGCAGATACCCAAATTCTGGAAGGAAGTCATCCTCACCCAGAGAGAGCAGGTTCCTGTAGTTCTCCAACATCACGTCCCTGTACAAAGCCCTCTGAGCAGTGTCCAGGCATTTCCACTCCTCCTGCGAGAATTCTATGGCCACATCCTTGAATGTCAAAGGACTCTGAAATAAAAACACATTTTGCCAAAAGATTATAGAGAAAGTTCTCATGCTTATACAAAATGAGAAGAGGAGAGAGTTGGAAGAATCAATTCAATTGAAGTGCGCCTGCTGACAGATCCACGTGAGGTATTTTTGAGCAAATTATATCTCCCTAATTCTATGTTATTTTACTTTTACATAATGATGGAATTTGGATGTGTTGTCCCTTCCAAAACTCATGTGGAAATTTGATCTCCATGTTGGAAACTGATTGAGTCATGGGGGCAGATCCCTCATGAATGGATTAATGCTCTCCCTGGGATAGAGGAGATTAATGAGTGAGTTCTCACTCTATTAGTTCCTGCAAGAGCTCATTGCTTAAAAAGACCCTGGCACCTTCTCTCTCCCTCTTGCTTCCTCTCTCTTGCTTCCTCTCTCTGTGTGATCTGCTTGTACCCGCCAGCTGCCTGCCCCTTTCCACCATGAGTAGAAGCAGCCTGAGGCCAGTGCCAGATGCAGCTGTCCCAGAATTGTAAGCCAAATAAACTTCTCTTCTTTATAAATTACCCAGTCTCTGGTATTTCTGTTATAGCAACACAAAATGGACTAAAACACATAACAAGTTATAAATAAGAGTGGATTTTTCAGAGTAGTGAACAATACAAGAAATAGGCAAATAAAAAGTTAACACAGGATTATCTCTATAGAATTATTAGATATTATTTCTGATGCACAAAATAATACTCAGTATCTAGATGAGTATCTTCAGAGATGACAAAGTACACAGTGCCTTAAAGAAAGGTCAGAGTCTAAAAACAAGTAATGACAGCAATAGCAACAACTGAAGTTTTCAAATACTTCCCATGTGCTAATAAGCACTGTATTACATACTCCCCAAGTAGTACTTCATATAACAAAGAAGCCCAACAGAAATCCATTTTCATCTTATCAGGAGACAACTGTGTCACAGACAGCGTAAGAAACTTGACTCAGGTCAAACAGTTAAAAATGGCAGAGCAAGCACCTCAACCCCGGTGTCTGGAAATTAGAATTGAACCTAAGGAGTCAAACAGTTAAGTAACATACAATTTACAAAAGTAAATTGACAAAGGGTTGACCCAACTGAGAAAACTGGAAACAACTTCAAGGATAACAAAATGGACCTTCATAAAAAGTCATTACATATACACACCCACAAGCTTACACACACTATGATTCTATATTTTCTCCTATTTAACTCATTGACGTGACAATGAAGAACAAATTTAAGGCCATGGAAAATATTTAAAACACCCAGGGTTCCAAGCAGGAGTCAAGGGCCAGCCCCCTCTCCCTGGAAGGAGGCAAGACAGAGCATGCCTGGAGTCACCCCCACCCTGACGTAGGAAAGGAGCAGACTGAAAACACCACCTCTGTGCAGGTGGTCCACCACAGCCACCGCCACAGCCATGGCTTCCACAAAAGCAGTGCATGCCACAGAAATAGCCACAACTACCATGCAGGTGGTCTTACAGACACTCAACTATATTGACACAAAGAAAATCACCAGCAGAGACCAGAAAAAGAAAAGGACACTTCTCTCCTCAAAGCCCACACTAAAGTAATAAAAGAAACAACTGCTGTACCAGATGACTAAACATCAATGCAGAGATACTAGAAATACAAAAACTCAAGAAAATATGACACCAACAAAAGAATACAGTAATTCTCAAATACCAGACCCCATACAGCAGGAAACCCTTGAAAAGACTGAAAAGGAATTCCAAGCAATAATCTTAAGGAAATTCACTGAGATAGAAGAAGAATCAGACAACACAATGGAACAAGAAAAAAAAATCCAGGATATGAAGGAGGAAATTTACAAAGAGATTAAGACCATAAAAAAGAGTATAGCATAACTCATGGAACAGAATGGTTCACTCAGTGAAATAAAAAACACAACCAAGAGCTTAAACAGCAGGCTACAACAAGCAGAAGAAAGAACTTCTGATCTTGAAGATAGGTTTTTCAAGGGCTGGCCCATGGCTTACTTGGGAGAGTGCGATGCTGATAACACCAAGGCCACAGGGTCCGATCCCATATAGGGATGGCTGGTTAGCTCACTGGCTGAGCATGGTGCTGACAACACCAAGTCGAGGGTTAAGATCCCCTTACCGGTCATCTTTTTTTTTTAAAAAAAAAAAGAAAAAACAAATAGCCAAAGCAATTCTGAGCAAAAAAATAAATAAAGTGTTAGGCATAAAATTACCTGACTTCAAATTACACTGCAAAGCTGTAGTAACCAAAACAGCATGGTACTCAACCAGGCACATCGCACCAGTGCCTTGGGGCCTGCCCTGGGACCCATGGCATGAAGAAGGGGGCCAGATCCCCCTCCTAACACCATGCACACCACACCAGTGCCTTGGGGTCTGCTGTGGACCCAAGGCATGGAGAAGTGGAGCAGACACCCCTGCCACAACCAGGCACCCTGTGCCACTTCCTTGGGGCTTGCCCTGGGAACCAGGGCATGAAGAAGGGGACCAGACACACCTCCCACATCCAGGCATTCTGTGCCAGTGCCCCGGGGCCCACACAAGGATACAGGGTATGGAGCCAGGGACTGGACCCCCCTCCCACAACTAGGCACCCCATGCCAGCACCTTGGGGCCTGCTCTGGCACCTGGGGCATGGAGTAGGGAACTGGTCCCACCTCCCAAAACCAGGCACACTGCACCAGTGCCTTGGAGCATGCCTAGGGACCCAGGGTAAGGAGCTGGGGACTGTACACCCCTCCCACAACCAGGCACACTGTGGCAGCACCTCGGAACCCACTCGGGCATCTGGGGCATGGAATCAGGGATCGGACACTCTCCACAACCAGGCACACTGCTAGCACCAAGGAGCATGTCCAAAACATCTCCTCCATGGGGGTGTCCCACCACAGCCACCATGATAACCATGGCCACTGTGAAGGTAACTAGATGCCATAACTACCACACAGATGGTCCACCAGCCACTGGAGTGCATTGACACAAGGAGAGTCACCAGCAGAGATAAAGAAAGGAGGAGGATGTCTCTCTCAACAGAGCCCATTTCATAGTGACGGAAGAGACATCTGCTCTATGATAGTACTGGTGGAGCTGATCATGCCTTTCAGCATTGGACAGATAATTTAGGCAGCAAATCAACAGAGTAACCATTATTCTTTCAGAAGGAGAGAAGAAATCTAAGGTAATTAGAGGGGGGAGGTAGAGAGAAAGGGGGTTGGGGAGGGATTGGACAAGAGGCCTAAAGAATAATTACAATTTGTAACAATATATATGCTACTAATATTGATCTGATCAACATATCTCAATGTTGAACCCCCAAAATATGTATAATCAATTTTGATTCAATAAAAATTAAAAAAAAAAAAAAAACAGCATGGCACTGGATTAAAATCAGATGTTCTGAGAAGTGGAAGAGAATAAAGAACCCAGAAATCAACCCACATACTTACAACCATGTAATCTTTGACAAAGGCACCAAGAACATACACTGTTGAAAAGACTGCCTCTTGAAGATATTGTGCTGGGAAAACTGGACATCCATATTTAAAAGAATGAAACTAGACCTGTACTCCTAGCCATGTACTGAAATCAACTCAAAATGGACTAAAGATGTTAATATAAGACCTGAAACTATGAAACAGGAAGTAGGACTGGGCAAAGACTTTATGTATATGGCCCCAAAAGCACAGACAATAAAAGAAAAAATTAATACATGGGATTATATCAAACTAAATAAGTCCTGAGCAGCAAAACAAACAAACAAACAAACAAACAAAGACCAGAGTGAAAAGACCACATACAGAATGGGAAATAAAAATTGCAAACTATGCACCTCACCAGGTATTAATATAAAGAATATACAAGGAACTCAAATAACATAACAGTAAAAAAAAATAAGTAACCCATTTAAAAAATGGGCAAAGGAGCTGAATAGGCATTTCTGAAAGGAAGATATAAAAACGGCCAACAGATACAAGCAAAAAATGTTCAAACCCACATTGAGATATCATCTCATGCCAGTTAGACTGGCCATTATCAAAAAGACCAAGAAAAATAAATGCTGGCAAGGATGTAGAGAAAGGGGAACCCTCCTCCATTGTTGGTGGGACTGTATATTAGTGCAGTGATAAGGGAAAACAGTATGGAGCTTCCTCAGACAACTACAAATAGACCTGCCATAAGATCCAGCAATCCAACTTTTGGGTATAAACCCAAAGAATGGAGATCATCACTTCAAGGGGTACTTGCACTCCCATGTTCATCACAGCTTTATTTACAATAGCCAAGATATGGAACCAATATAAGTGTCCTTTGACAGATGAGTAGATGAGGAAAATGTGGTTTATATACACAATGAAATACTACTCAGCCTTATAAAACATGAAATTCTGCCATTTGCAGCACCATGGATGAACTTAGAGAAAATTATGTTAAGTGAAATAAGCCAAGCATACAAGGAGAAATAAATGCATGTCCTCACTCATAAGTGGGAGATTAAAAAAGCAAACAAATAAATAAAAAGAAAGAAAAAAAGGTACAACAATCACAATAATTTGCTGAACATTCAAAAGGAGAGAACAGACTGAGTTTACCGGAGGAAGGAAAGGGAGAGGGAGAGTGGGGGCTAGTGGGAAATCAGTAACAGGACACAGGAAATGATTATGTTGAGTAATGTTGATTATAATAACTATTCTGATTTGAGCATGACATAGTACACAAAGGTATTGATATTGAATGCTGTACCACACAGATGGGTAAAATCAATTATATTGCAGTAAACACAAACATTTTTAAAATCTACAGTCTGTTCTGCTGCAATCTTAAAAAAAAAAAAAAAAAACACCAACAACAAAAAAAAACCATAATCCTCCCAACATTGACTAGCTGTTCACAAACCTTATTTCCTCTTCTCCTCTGGAGCCATATTAACTGGTAGGAAAGTAGATTTTTGTTGGGGGGCGGCTGGCCAGTACAGGGATCAAACCCCTGACCATGGTGTTATCAGCAGCACACTCTGCCCAACTGAGCTTACTGGCCAGCTGTGGAGACTAGATTTTTCTTTGGAGTTCATCCCGCCTTGCCAGACAGCCTTTGCCTTTAGATAAATTATTTTTATTCGTAATTGCCAAGAACTGAAAACAACCAAGAGGTTCTCAATAGGTGAATGGATTCACAAACTGCAGTGCTTCCATCCTATGAAATCTTATCAATACGAAGAAATGAGCTGTCAAGTCATAAAAAGACATGGAGGAACCTAAGTGAAGAAGCCAGTCTGAAAGGGCTCCGTACTATGTGATTCCAAATGTATGATGTCCTGGGAAAGGAAAACTGTACAGACAGGACAAAGATCAGTTGTTGCCAGGGTTTTGGAGGCAGCAAGGGAGGGATGAATAGGTAAAGCACAGAGGATTTTCAGGGCGGTGAAAGTACTGTGTGACACCGCAGTGCTGGATACACAATATAATGCATTTGTCAAAACCCATAGAATCATGCAATTCAAAGAGTGAGCCTCACTGTAAACCATGGATTTAGTTAAAAATAATGTGTCAGTTTTGACATCAGCTCATTAATTGTAACACATGTATCACACTAATGCAAGATGTTAATAATAGAGGAAATTATGCAGGAGAGAGAGGAGATATATACAAACGGCACTGTCTGCTCAATTCTCTGCTAATCTAAAATTGTTCTAGTAATAAAGTATATTAATTTTACAAAACCTAAACATACAATTACCATACAACCCAGCAATCACACTCCTGGGCGTTTTTCCTGGAGTACTAACCATTTACGTTCACACAAAATTGTGTACCAGAATGTTCTGGGCAGCTTTATGTGTAACAGTCAAGCCCTGGAAACAGGTCAGATGTGTTTCAAGGGCTTGTGGTTTAAAAACAAAAAAAAAGTGGTACATCCATCCCTTGGAATACTATTCAAGAATAAAAAGAAATGGAGCGTTCATACACACAATGAACTGGATGAATCTCCAGAAAACTATACCAAATTGTTTAAAAAAAAAATCAAATACAAAAAGCTTACATAACTGTGATTCCCTTTATATAACATTCTGGAAATGATAAAATTATAAAAATGAAGAACAGGTTAGTGTCTGGCAGGACTTGAGGAGGGGCTGGGTGTGGAAGGAAGTGGGTATGTCCCTAAAAGGGTGACATGGGGTACCCTTTGGTGATGGAAATGTTCTGCATCTTGACCGTCTCGTTGTTAATCCTGATTGTGATATTGTACTGTAGTTTTGCGTGATGTTATCATGAGGGGTGTGAGGCTAAAGGGCACACAGAGTCTATCTGTAATAGTTCTTACACCTGCATGTGAACCTACACTTTTCTCAAAATAAAAAGTTGAATTAAAATAACTGTCTGCTGACACGGCTCCCCTTTATTGCTTACAGTTGGGGTGA